AAGGCAAAAGTCCCAGACTAGGAATGTGTTCACAATTATGCCAGTCACCTAACTTCAACTCCACCAGCTTATTAGACAAAAACATAGGACCACCACTCATCATCCATGGTGGAAAGCTCTTTCCCATGTAATAATTAATGGATAAACTTTTCAAGTTTGAGTGAGGTTGAAAACCTTCTAGAACCTCCACATGGTTGCTGCAGTTTCGTTCTAATACATTCCATTGCAGTTTCAAATGGTGCAATCTTGTCTTTTCCATTAGGTTTGCTTTAGTGGCTTCTGATTTTGATCCAACTTGTTCAAGCTTCTGAATCGTCAATTCCCCAGTGAGTTCGGTTAAGCCTCCCAGTTCTTCTATGCCACTCCCTTTTTCTTTGCCTACAAAAAATATCGGTAATGTTTGAAGGGAAGTTAGTTGCCCAAGCCCCCTTGGCACATGCTGTTCAATAAAAAAATAAATGTGCCTCAGGCTCACTAGATTGCTCATATTATCAGGCATCTGTAGAATAAAAAAGCACCGGTTTAATCTAAGAGTTTGCAAATGGTAGAGCTTGGAAAGAGATCTTGGTAGTGCTTTAATCTCGCCATTCGAGATGTCAAGGTATCTCAAATGCTTTAGTTCACCAAGAGCAGGACACAGCTCTTCCATCTTAGTTTGCATTAATTTTAAAGATCGCAAACTTTTGAGATCAGATGCCATGTTATTGAAAACACCAGCCTCCTCTTCTATGAACAAAGAACGCAACCTTTGACAAAGATCAGTTGGAATGTATGGAAGTTCACTCCCATCGTGCTTGACTCTCAAATGTAGAATAGTAGCATTTTTGTCAATCTTGCAACCAGACTTCCAGATTAAAGTTTCATCTTCTGAAACAGCCAACGCCAGATCATGGACTACGTCATGCATCTTGCAAGATATGACATCTCCATATTTATTCCTTTCCACATCTTGAAATAAGGAATAAGATAAGAGATAGTTAAAGTAAGCATCACCAATTTCTTCCATTGTGCTGGAGCTTTCATTAGGTTGGTGAAGAAATCCCTGAGCCATCCAAAGTTGAACTA